ACGTCGCTTCAGAGCCTTTATTTTGGAGAAGGTTAAAGCCTGTAGATACAGCAATAAAATATACAAAAAATAAAATTTTTTACAGTATCGAATGCTGCCCTGGGCTCCAGGGACTGCAACTGGAGGCAGCTACGGCGAGCACAGGGGCACCGGCTCCCCCCTGGGCGTCCCCACAGGGCCAGCCATGGATCCCCCCATCCTGCCTTCACAGCGGACCCCACAGCCCCAGGGATCCTCTGCCCTGCCCTCTGGCCCCTGCCAGTTGTGACGCGACTGGGGAGAGAGCAGCTCTCCCTCTGCCTCCTGTACCCCCTCCACTGTGTGCCCACGGCACGGAGAGGACAGGAGGGCTGCCCCCAGTTTGGTAAATGCAGGACCCCCACCGACACTTGCCCTTCACAACACTCACGTCTCCATCACATACTCTCCAGTGGCAGATTCCTCTCCCCGTGTCCATCTGCTCCCTTCCAACTCTTGTCCCCTCCCACCCTAACTGTGACAGCCAACCTCCAACAGAAATACCACATGAAGCTCCCAAGAAGCTGCAGCCCCCGTGCCCGGCCCCTCACAAGCCAGAGGGAAAGGGACAGGCTCCAGCAGTGCCCTAGAGTCCAACGGTTCTAACTCAGCACAGCACGGGAAGTGTGGCCCTGCTCCTCACCCCAACCTGGCCCCAGGGCAGCCCCCATGATTACACCCAGGTGCCAAATCAGGCCCCAGCTCCAAACTCTGCTCTCTCACACACACCAGTGCTGGGAGGCAGCACTGCCTGACTCTGGGCAGCCTTTGCCCCCAGGGACACCAGCAGGACCCCAGGGCTGCTGGTGCTGGCTGGATCCCTGTGCCTGTGGCAGAAAGCTGGTGACAAGCACAAGCAGCTCCCGACCCTCCCTGCTCCCAGAAAAGCCCAGGCTGAGCCCAGCAGGATCAGCACCCTGGCAGGGCAGGAGTGCCCAGGCACATCCACCTGCAGCTCCAAGCCCTGTGCTGGTCCTTCTGGCCAAAACCAGGGGGGTGCAGAGAGGAGACACCCCTGCACCCTGTAAGCTCTGGGAGGTGCTGGGCAGCAGCAGGGCTGCTTCCCCCCTGCAAATCCAGGCTCATAAGGTGTTGGGGTGTGGGCTCTGGCAGGCAGGGCAGCAGCTTCCAGCAGCAGGGCTGGGGCTGCGGAAGCGTTTGTAGAACTGCAGCTGCGATCGGACGCAAATAGGCACTTGAATGAGCAAAAAATAATAAAAAACTGCTATGGAAGGAAATAGAAAAAGGTTCATCCCCTCCCCCCGAGACG